TTATTAATGTTGGATAAGTTTCAAAGTTAGAATTAAATCCTGCTAACACAAAACATGTTTTTTTTTATTTTTTTTTATTCCTAGCTTTAAAGGGGATATTTAAGTGATTAGATGACTCTAAACATCTGCTAAGTTCATGGCATAAACCAACACAAACATGTTTCTGTTTTTAGTATTTTAAATCTCTTTATAATTTAGCTGTATTTGTTTCATTCTTTTTTAAATACAATTTTATTGTAATTTTCAATTTATATGCTTTTTATGATTGTCTACTAATTGTATTGATAAATATCTTCTGGAGGGTAAACTATATCTTGGCTGCAAGAATCAATGCTGCGAAATCCTTCGTTTTCTACAACTGATAGTGGTTGGCCATTAATTAAGATGAAGTTTAGCAACTTCACGGTCAACATTTGAGCTCCGGGGCTTCAGCGGTCTGTTATTTTTGTTCAGTCCAGAGAAAGCAGTCTGATTTCGGTCAGCCGCGCTCAGTCTGCCCCTCCTCCGACACGGACAGACTGAGCGGGTCAGACTGAGCGTGGCTGAGCAAACTCAGACTGCCTTCTCTGGACTAAACAAAAATAACAGACTGCTGAAGCCCCGGATCTCGAATGTCCAACGTAAAACTAACTTTATCGCAGTTTAATGTGGTGCTATGACTCTGCAGACATTGCACGTTGCTGTCTTGTTTTGTGGTGTTTCTAATGTAAAATATTTCCACACAGGGAACATGTTTCAGTGAAAAGTTGGTTAGCCGTTAGCCACAGTGCTACTGCACGTTGTAGCTGGTTGCAAACTATGAAATGGATTTCCTGAATGTGAGGCGGGTCTTATTACTTTGGGTTCATGAGACACGCCTACGTTCAGGAAATCCATTCTATAGTTTGAAGCCTACGTTCAGGAAAAAACCACAGACATGCATCATGGATCGGAAATATCGGCAGGTTGGATCGAAAAATCCGATACGTAAATTATGCTGGTATCGGAGCCCAATACCGATACTGGATCGGATCGGCCCCATCCCTAATTAGAAGCACGTATTTGATCATGCCCAAACTCTGTATAGATTTCTTTTGACTGGCCCCATTCTGCACACATGCAAACTGTAGCCTTCCCCTACAGATATCCATCATAGTTGCTGTTGGGGAGAGAAAAAAGAACTCACAGCATAATAATGGATTCCACGCAGGCCAGTCACAGTCTTTTCATCCTGGTACTGTGTGGAAAATGGTACTAGAGTATCCGGGCAACCATGAGAAGAATTTCGTACAACCGTTGTCTTCAGCTTCTATTGATTTTTAACTCTAGTTTAACAAGTGTTTCTATATGTTATGTTTGGGTTTATTCATTTGTACTTGACAAACTAGTTTGTATGGTTTACAGTAATGCCCTTTAGTTGTAGGTTATTTACTGGTAATTTAGCTGCTAGCTGCTTTTATACAACATTATTAAACCCAAATAGAAAGAAACACATTTATTTGTCTGTTTTTTCATCCCTGCTATTTTTTCCTTATTTTTTCCAGGAGTATCCAGCACAGATACATTCTTGAGTTCAGTCTCCACTCCTACGAAACGTTCACATGAATCAGGTATTCCTCGCCTCTACCAGCAGTTACCATTATTCACACCGCTTGTCTTTTATTTTTTTTTTCACTTATGAGGCCAATTTGAAAGAACTGACTTGCATCAGTGTTATTAGATAGATCCAAAATGGTTTGCTTGTTTTCCTAGAAGTAACAGCAATAGAGTTTTAAAATTGTAGTTGTCACACAGATGCAACATAACACACCATGGTGGACTCACACATCCACAGCTTACACAAGACTACTGTATTGTGGGTAGCCACAACTTTACCAAGATTAAACATCCTGATGTCTTGCTAAATTAAGAATCCCACCTAAGCAAAACACTTAAGTTCTTTGATGCTGGATAAATTGCAGTTTTATTTTTATGCCAGAAAATGTGTGTTTAAAAATGAGGAGTCATGAGCTTTCACAAGTTTATGTATTTTTTTTAACAATTTATTGTACACAATATAATTCTTAGCATGCTTAGCTTCAAATCTAAAGCTTACTTTATATTTAAAGCTTTTTCAGCCCATACATATTATCTGGGATATACAATGATAACAAAACCAGGTAAAGAGGTTGCAATTTTATTCTTTTAACAACATGAAATGGTACATGAGCACAATCACAGTCTCTCATACAAAAGGGATCGATGAGGCAGGCTGGTGGGACAGGAAGGAGGTGTCTGACTGCCAAGCATGGCCTAGTTCTCAGAGATTTATTGAGTGCTGATCTGCATTTTGGCAGGGCTGGGGAAAAAGTCTGCCGGATTGATGAGAAAAGCTGAGTTGAAATTCTAGCCAACCAGCGGAAGCTTGCTACAGGCTCCTACTGTCCCTGATGTGGTGGTGGTGGTTGGGGGGGGGGGGGGGGGGGGGGTAAAAGCAGGAGACCCATTAATCTTATCTTCTGCTGTCGTGTTTTAAATCTGCACAATGCAAAAATGTTACCTCGGGTGTCCAAGTGTCTGCTCGCTTAATGACTGGACCTTCAGTGTTTTTTATTTTAATTATTATTTTTATTGTGTTGCTGCAAAATTAGAAATGTGAAGGCTTTTTATAAATTTACAGTTTTGGACACAGAATAGATAAAGCTGGATGGAATATCGGATCAAAAGATGGACAACTGTTAGCTGCAGTTATTGTCAAATCCATTTAAAGTTAATTAGCATTCACAAAGTAATTTGTAACATAAAATTAACTTGTAGATGCTCTTTTGCAGTTGATTTTTTTTTTTTTCTCAACTCGCATGAAGACTTGGCAATTTTTACGTTGGATGCCCTTCCTGACTCAACCACAGACCACCGAGCTACCACAGTCCTCTGTGTGGAGCAGAGAGCTGATATCTAGGGTGCCTGGGGAGCAGATGGTGGGGGTTAAGGACTTTGCTGAAGGGCCCAGAGTGGGGCAAATGAGGGTGGAGGCAGGTGTGGGTGCTTCACCTATCCCACCCACATTTTTGATGTTGTCTGTATGGGGAGTTGAACCAACAACCTTCCAATCACAGGCCCACCTTCTTTAACCTCCACTCCCCAAATATAACCTGAATAAATAAGCAAACTACTATCTTTTAAGTCATTATAAATCTTTTTTTTTCCTAGTGCAACATTTTATTCAAGATTCTGCTTTTGTAGAAATTTTTATCTGACCTGCTCAATAATTCATCAACAGATTGAACACAGCATTGATGAACAGAATGTGTCTTGATCAGCTTTTTGCTTATGTTTACATGTATGTCCTCATGTGTCTCCTTCCTCAGAGTCAGACAATGATACTTCTTCACCTGAGAAACGAGCAAGAGTGAGTCAGGACCCTGAGCACGAGGAGTGTTCGTCGTCATCACCGTCTTTGTCAGCATCATCGCCGTCGTCTCGCAGCGGCTCTAAACAGCGGAGCCGCAAACGTTGTCATCGCTGCCAAACTAAACTGGAGCTGGTACAGCAAGAGCTGGGCTCCTGTCGCTGCGGTACGAAGACATTCATGCACATATACAATTTATTATGACATCATTAAAAAAATTCACATTTAACCAGAAACACTCTCACACCATAGCTTACAAAATCATCTGTGGATGAATATAATTGACCTTATTGTTGCATAAATTTAAACATAAACTTGGTCATAGGTTTGATGACTTTTGTAAATCTTATACGAGAGGAAAGCTTCTATTGCCTGGGCATTTATTTTGTTCTATTGTTAGCCTTTAGGGGCCATTGCAGAAAGCCTGAATGTTTCTCATTGCACATAAAACATAAGCCAATTACCATGAGCACTAATGAAGTTTAAACCTATGCTTGGCTTGCTAATCAACTTGTTTGCATACAAATTAAAGTGCTTAAAAAGTCAAAGCTCTTTACTACTTAAATACCAATATGCCTAAACCAACACAGCAATGGCTAAATTGGAAATTGACGTCCTTTTTTCCCCTTTACCAGGCGTTACTTAATGCATGGGCTATTCATCCTTAATAGTCTAATGGTTACTATGAATGCATACCTTTCACAAACCAAAAGGGGAAATGGGGACAATTATAGTAATTTCTGACTATCGCAGTAATTGCAAATTATTTTGCTAATGGTCCTGCAGAATGTTTCGCAGTGTTAAGGCAAGAAGGTTTGATAATGAGTTGAAAGCATGAATGCTTTTCAAAGTGTAAATGGGGAAGAAAAGGTGGCTCCAGCAGGGAATTTGATCCAATGTTGCCACACTCGGTAGGCATCTGCTCTTACACAGTTCCTCTAATGTTTATCTTTCAGGTTGTTACTATGACACAAAGAAATGCTCTGGAATTAAACTGTTATTTATGTCATTAGTTTTGACGTCTAGATCCAACAAAAACGGGACCCTAGAGCTGTGCGATGGCTCGATATTTAAAACACATTGAAATATATTTTTTTGCGATATAAGATGAGACTATTTCAATATAAACAATATTATACTTGAAAATCTGCCTGTTCTTCTTTCTCCCACGTGACCTCCTCCTTCTCTCTCCTTGAATACAAACCCAGCCCCTCAGCCGCGCGCTCCCCACCATTTCCTGCTTCTCCAGGAGGTGGGCAGGAGACGTTTAGCACAAGTAAACATGGGAGATATATGAAGAGCAGCTGCTGCTGAGCAAAAAGAAAAACAATGGCTGTTCTTTTGGAGATGGTTTGGATTCAAATTGTCAAATGAGCAGCAGAAAATGTTTTCTGTAGACAATGCCGAAAACAAGTCCCGATAAAAGGTTGGAACTACGAATGTTTTTCACCATTTAACACAGCGCTATAAGTGGAATATGAAATGTGTGTGAAACTGCAGCTGCAGGTCCGACAGACTTCAGCCTCCTTCCCTGAAACAAACCACGGGTCAAAACTCATTTAGTCATGCTGTGCCTTATGAGAGGAACAGTGAGGTGTTGCAACATTAAAGCAGTGGCTAATCATATCGCTAAAGACACGGTCTTTAGTGGCTTACAAGATGGCTAAAGTTAGCTGTCTTGTTAGCCGCTAAGGACCGTGTCTTTAGTGATATGATTAGCCACTGCTTTATTAATGTGGCGCTGCCTCCTCTCACTGTAAGACTTGAAAATCTGTGTCCAGTAGTTCTTTTTTTGCCCATCCAACTTCATGCAGCCTCCTCCCTTGCTGGATACAAACAACCCCTCACTGCTGCTTCACACACATTTTACTAATGTGAAGGTGGCACAGCTGAAGAGGATTATTATTTAATATATGTAAATAAATGTCTAAAAAACAAACTTTAATATGTAAATAATTCATTTTTTTTAGACATTTATTTTGTAGAGTTACAGCTATTGTTAATAAATGTGACTGTATGACAACTGGGACAAAGCTTTGACTCAGAAATATATTTTTGTTATTATTTTATGGAAAGAAAAATAAATTGAGATATATATCATATCACCATTTTTCTTAAAATATCGAGATATTAATTTTGATCCATATTGCCCAGCCCTACGGGACCCTAACTGTTTTAGTTGTGAATTGCTTTTTTAGCATTAGTCCATGAATCTTTGACTAGGGATCTCCTCAAAACAGTCTTAGTAGCTTTAACATTTTGTCATTAATCCTTGAAAATCTGCATAGAAGGAAACAGATTTTCTGTGTGGTCCTGGAGAAGTAATTAATGCTGCCCAACATTATGGAAGAAAATATAAGGCCTTTCCCAAACAATTTAGATTGTACCATTCTACAGTGAGAAAGATGACCGACCGACTGAAAACATTTAAGAGCATTGCCAATCTTTCCAGGAGTGAGCATCCTAGTGAATTCACCCTGAGGTCTGAACTTGCACTGCTCTGAAAATTTTCAAAATGCCCAAGCTGCATCTCAGACTCTACAGGCCTCAGCTAGCATGGAAAATGGTAAAGTTTGTGACGGTACAAATAGAAAAAGATGGAGCAACCATTGGTTGTTTTGAAGAAAGGGACTTCTCTTATAAAACATGGCAGCATTGCTTGAGTTTATTGAGCTGCAACTGAGAAAACAAAACAAAACTCCTAAACCCCCCCCCCAAAAAACCCATGTTCAATAATCCAGCTATACAATCCAACAATTTTTAGTTTGTTCATCTGATGTTTGGGGGGAGAATCAGTTTAGTGTTGTGTGTTTCCTTGACTGATGAAGCCTTCCGGATAGAAGGTGAAACGTTTCAGCAAAAAAAAATTAACTTTCCAGATGATCTGACTAAAAATTGTTGGGAAGACTCCTAAAAGTATTCTCTTTGAGAATGGAGATGTTTGTCTTTTTTTTTTTTTTCTCCCTTGTCCTGACACTTAGAATTATTGTCTGAGGGTCAAAGTGATGCCCAACAGATTTACTTTCACAAGCAGATCATTATGGCTGGCCTTAATGCTCCACTTGATATATAAATTAAATTTTATTACAATTTGCTTTGGGTTTGTTTCGGATGTAATGGACATGGGGATGAAAAACAAAGAAGATAACAAAGCAGAAAAGTGAGATGAGATGTTTGTCTTTAATGCACATCTCCACATTTAGTGAAAACCATTCACAGCATGTCAGCAATCACAACTATTAAAAACCTTTCCATATACTGAAGTATTCTACAGTCACATATAATCCCATCTGCATGACTGGTGAAGCTTGACTGAAATTAGTTGATGCAACTGAACATGGATCTCCATCCAACCAGAAAATCTGCAGTAAAATGGCTGATAATTCAGTATCAAGATGTTATAATAGATTGTCAAAGTCTGATTAAGACCACATGAGAACCTTTTGTACCTTTGACTGTTTGACAGTGACAAGTTGGCTTCAGAACTTATATAAATAGCTACTGGATAAGAGTTTGGATTAAAAGTGATTAAGCGCTCAGGGCCTGACCTGAGAGGAAGGACCTGAAGCTGTGTATGAGTTGGATAGAATTTGGTTGGGAAACTTCTATTTGACTAAACAGAGGTAAGAAGTATTATCAAATACATGGACTATCAAAACAACACGCACGAGTGCATTTATAGCTGGAATTTGCTTGATCTTTATTTCATTATATTCACCAAAGATTTTTTTTTTTTACTTTCTAATTGTCTTTTTAGCTAATTAGAGTTTTTAAATTCCTCAGTTATTAAATCACATAATGCCAACAGAGAGGTGGATGGTAAATTTTCCGTTTGTGGTTTCTGTTTGGGGAATATTACTGTCAATCTTGCTGAATTATTTGCTTTTCGTTCCATTCTTGTGAGTATTTTTTACACCCGATTTAATTGCATTGAATTCAGAGGTCACATTTAATTACCACTTACTAAATGGCAGTATTATGTACGTATTAATGAATACAATGAAAAAACTAACTGCTGTCTCTGAGCCTTTAGAGGCTACTGTAGTGACAAGGCCAAGGTTGGATAAACTACACTAGAAACAGAGTCAAAGAGAGAGGATGATTTTTTTCTGCTGAATAAAATCTGAAGCGGAAACTATTAAATGTCTGTTTTGGTTAAAAGGTGTCTCAGAGGCATGATTACTTAGATCCTTCAAAAGTCTTTTTTTAAACATTTATTGGCATCTGCCCCTAAAAAAAAGGTTTCTACTTGTTTAGAAAAAATGTTTCTTAATGTTACAGAAACTCTGAGCTGTAATTAACCACTGTCTGTCTGTCTTCTATCTGCATGCCTCCCTCCCTCCAGGCTATGTGTTCTGTATGCTCCATCGTCTTCCTGAGCAGCACGAGTGTCTCTTCGACCATCTGGGTCACGGTCGTCAGGAGGCCGTCCTCAAGATGGTCAAGCTCGACCGTAAGGTGGGCCGCTCATGCCAGCGTATCGGGGAGGAGTGCTCCTGAGCAGGCGTTCCCCCAGGAAAACCTCTGTGTCCAGACGGCATCTCAGTTCTAACAGGGATATGATTTTCTTCCTTTAACTTCATCCTACAGGGTTTTTACATTTTCTTTTGAGGAATGCAAACCTGCATTCTTTCATTTTTAAAATTGAGCTCATTCTTTTTATTTTTGATCATTGTTCACTTTTTGTTCGTTTCCCGCTCCTGTCGGCTTGATCATATCCCTTCTGCTAAGATGCCTTTTGGAAAAGAAACGAATTCAATAAAGACAAAACGATCCAGAGCAAAGAAAAATATGATTTCTTCACTTTCTTGGGAGTTCCTAACTATACAAGTGTGAATGGTGTGAAAGTGAATAAAGATATGTCAAGAGAAAATACAATGCTTTATACAATTGTTTGTTTCGGAAAGCAGACGGTCTTCTTTACCTCAGAGAAAAAGAAGGAAAAAAGGAATGATTAGGAGGAGAAAATAGGGAAAGAATCGGTCGTCCTTTTTGCACACTTTGGCTTTGGCGCTGTTTATAGACTATTCTCTTTACCTCAAAATCCAGACCAGAGCTGCTTTGAACCCTGCGCCAAGAATGGACTTTGTGAGGCAAGAAAGCTTGCCAGCCTCAAGCTAAGTCATGTCTACCCCCCACCTCCCCCCCCCCCCCCCCCCCTACCCCCCCAAACAAACCCGTTGATCACCCTCCTCAGGATACCGAAGCTCTGCTTCTCCAGATTTGTCCTCTGCTTTATGGAACTCCATCTACTCTTGTTTTAATCAAAGGGTCTTCTGCCACTGTGGACTGTAAAAGTGACAGAATCCTGACGCTCTGTATTCAGGACTTGCAGCGTGTGTCAGAACTTCAACACATTTGTAGTGGGGGGCAGCCAACTGCTCATTCTTGGACTACACAAAGACCTGTCTCAGTGATGGGAAGGGACTGCAGATTTGTCAAATGTTTATTTTTATTTTGGGGTCAATCTGTCCCTTTATCCCTCAAAACTTTTCAAATTTAAGCATTTTCTCCTCCATCTACGTTCTATATTAGCAAGTGTGGCTCGTGTGCTGAAAGTATGCAAAGTTTAAGAGGAAAATTTCTCAGTGTTGTGATGGAAAATGACTGGACCTGGAATGTTACATGTTATACACACAGCCTAACTCTAATGTGTTGTGTGTGTGCTCAGTCAATGTTTAAACTGAGCACATGTAAAATTAAACGTATGATTTTTAATGTGGGCTGTAGCTACAACACTCAAGTCCGAGGGTCCCACTTTAGATTGCGACAGCTGTTCTGGTCACATCTAATGTTTTAGGCCTCTGCTGGCCATCTTTGTTTCCAACATTGAAGCAAAATGTCTGACTTTATCTTTCATCGATGCGTTGTTTTTTTTTAACACGTTTTAATTTTCAGCCAGCATGATAATCATGCACACCCTTCTTAAGTTCACTTATTAGTTCTTCTGTTTTTATTTTGTCTCTTTATTTTACTACTTTTTTGCTTTGCTGTAAATGAGGGAATTCAGCTGTGATGAGCAGAGTGTTAAAAACAAAATTAACATAAGTTACCTTTTGACATGTTTTTCTTGGAGGACTGCAAAGATTGAAGAGGAAATATTGAATGGACGAATCTTGTGTATCTTAAAGAAAACATCGTTCAGCCTCTTTTACGTTTCAAACTTAACATTTAGGCATTGAGCTGTGACTTTTCGTTGTTGTAATGTGGTTCTAAAAAAAATGGGAAACTGAATGTGGAAGATTTTTTTTTTTTTTTCTTTGCTTTACTTTTTTTGTCTCCCTTTCAACTCATTTTCTTTCACTGATTAAAAAAATAAAGTCTGTTAGACAAAACGTGAGCATCTCTGGTGTACTTCCTAACATGGATTGTTTTAAGTTTGTATCTTTATTTATTATTTTGTCTTTTTAGGGTCAGTTGTATTCACATTGCATTTGCAAATTTTGGTCCAAATTTTATGATCCTTTGCATGTTATGTATTTTAAATAAATGCATGTGTATGTTGAGGTGATAGGTTGAGCCTTCCTCCAATGTTCTGGCTTCTTTCCATGTCTTGCTTGTTTTTATAGTGAAGTTTAATGCGTGCAGAGGGCAGCTGGAAAGCTACACTGTTAGTGTGCATGCCTATGTGAGGGAAAAGGTTAAAGGAGACGTTTAACTTAACAGGCAATCTACTCACTGCAACATTTCTCTTAGATGGGATGCACCAATTAATATTGTGAAAAAGAAAATTCAGCACTGATCAAAAGCCGTTTTAAGCTGCTGGACATGGTCAGCTCTGTCTAATCTCTTATCCTTCCCATCACTGAGTTGAGCCTAAATTGCACAAGTTAGCATAAAGTTGTGGAGCGTTTTCCTTTGATAAAGTCACTGAAATGTTTTAATCCTCTGCTGGATAAGTGACAGCAGTTACATCTCTTCAAACTGGCCCTGATTGCACTTCTTTTTGATAACCATATCTGTAGTTGTATGGACAAAAGAAAGTACCATACGCCCTCTTTCTATTCCAGAGTTGTATATCAGTGCATCTAGCAGTTTTTAGTCCCTTCCTCACTACGTCTTGAATATTAAACCTCAAGTGAGCAACATGATATATTGGTCAAAATTGTTACTATTTGTATAAATGTCGAGACAAAATGTAGAAATGGGACCAAAAGCATTATTTATTAGCTTGTAGAATGAATTGCAACATACCATATTTTTTGGACTATAAAACACACTTAAAATCCTATAATTTTCTCAAAAATCGACTGAGCCTTATGTATTGATTCTGGTTGTGCTTACTGACCTCAAACCAATTTTATGTGGTACAACTGAACAATGTTGCGAGTTATTGTGAATAAGTTGAATAAATTTTGACTTATCTGTTTTGTTTTGCTTAATACGCCTTCTAATCCAGTGCGTCTTGCAGTCCAAAAAATATGGTAAACGTATAAAACCTTTTTGTGACTTTGTCTTTTACATCATTACAAAAGATTTGTGGGCCACTAGTCCTTACTGTTTCTTAATAATACTAGATAATTATTTAAATTTTTTAATAAATATTTTGTTTTAAGTCTTGATATGTTAAATCTTAGATTTGAAGCCTTTTGTACTTTTTTCTGCCGTTTTATTTCAAAGGTGTCATACAGGACTTGGTATCATCTATTAGAGCACTTAAAACAGCTACAAGGCCAACCAAAGTGCTGTACAGACAGAGAAACAGACAACACACAAAGCAATATACAAAATGAAGTAAATCAAAAATATAGACATATCTGATATATGCATGGCATAAATATGTGTTTAAGAATGAATTGCAAGTTTATGCATATATTAATTGAAAAATCAACAACTGGGGAATGTGCAGTTTTCTCAAGATTATCCAGTTGTTTTGTTTGTGTCAAGTCCATATTCTAATATAGAATTTAATTTTGCTTAAGAAATTATGCATGTATTTTATTTAACTGTTTCTGACAGAAATGGTGCGTTTTGTTACTTTTTCTTCTATCTGGGGATATTTGTTGTTTCTAATCTTTTAAGCCCTCCTTAGGCTTTCTGAAGCCCTCTCCTTGTCATGTTTGTTGCTACCTACCCTCCGCTCTGTGTTAAATGTTGTCCTCATTATATTCTGACACCCTGGTTGAAGCCCTGTGCCAGAACCGAGTGGCAACAAGGAGCATGAGGTGTGTGTTTGCAGGAGGCTGCCCAGTGTTTGAAAGGGATTTAGAAGATATGATGTTGTGGCCAGTGGTTAGTAATCTTCTTACAGCTCAACAAACAAGAAAGCCTTCCATTCTTTGTGCCTTGATTGGCTACAATCAGCTATGTGCACCATCTGTATGTTGAACACCACCTTCTCTCAGGCTCCTTGTTTTGCTCTTCATGCAATCACTTTCACTCTTCAACACGTTTACTTTTTCCCCCTGCTCAAGTGGGAAATTGCTGACATGCACATTTCGTAAAGAAAATTTGAATCTGAGAATAGAAATAATGTTTTTGTATGTACATTAAAAGCAATTTTAGGTAACATTTGGAATGAGAGGATGGATCACTTTCACTGTCTGATGCATCACAGGCTGTTTTCCAGTCAGCTCGTCTTATAGTGTTGGTATAAGTTCACTTGTTCTTATTAAATTTGATGAGCACTCAGCAGTGTGAAAGCATGTCTGTAATTACATCGCATCCATTACATCCATTTAAGTGCAGAGTTTGTCATCCGATAATATCCTAAATGACACAAATATGGAAAACTAAGCTTCGATTTAGATAATGTGTGTGCGTTTAAAAACAAGTATTATGCTTAAGATTTTTAAGGACAAGCCGTGAAACTGAGTTCGCTGTGTCAAGTCAAATTTATATTTTCAGTGCAAAAACACAGCACATAATGAGTAATAAAGAGTAGCATGTAAATTGAAAGTCCTGCATAAGTTTATTTCCTGCAGGTTTCAAATGAAGGTTAGCTGCTTTATTTAAAAAAAATGGTGAATTTTATTTTGTAACGTTCCTTTATTGTAGTTTGGATATATATATAAAAAAAAGGTGCTTTCTAATAATTGGAACAATTGGAAGGTGAGGGAGTAAAGAACATATTTTCCTCACTTCTTTATATTTATAGCTCTTGTAAAATTAGGGGCGGCAAGTTGATTTTCAGCCTTTTACCGTTAGAATTCAAGTACTGAAGAGTTGGGGAACTCTGTACCATATTAAATATTTATCAAATGAGGAGACCTAATTTGAATTTTTTATATTTTATTATAAAATTAATACCATACCACTTTAATTATAAAGCACTCAAAACAGTAACAAGGCCAACCAAAGTGTTGTACAGCAGAAACTCACAAGCACAACACACAGCAGAACATGCATAGATACAAATGGAAAAAGATAATAACTAAATGGCTAACATTGTTGAATATAGACGGGATAAAAACAAAATCACACCGTGTCAAAAGCCAGGGAATAAAAGTGAGTTTTTAAGCGAGACTTAAAAACCATGAGGCCTGCCTGACCTGTATAAATCAGGCATAAATTTAAATATAAATCAAAATAAACACAACACACATAACTACAAATAAAAATTATAGGAGAATAATATTTGAAGAAGCGGTTGTTGGACAGAAATGGCAATCTGTGCAGGAATTTAGATTAATTTATCTGTT